GTCTCGCCAAGTTGCCCAGGCGGGTTTCGAACCCGCGGGCTCAGGCAGTCCACTCACCTCGGCCTCCCAAAGTGCTGGGATTACAGGCTGAGCCACTGAGCCCGGCTTATACGGGGATTTTTTAGTAGGAAAGAGGGAAAGCAAGGGAAATGTCCTTTCTTTGTAATTGAGAGATAATTCATATACCCTGAAATTCATCATTTTAAAGTGTATGCTTTAGCGGATCTTGGTGTATTCACAAGATTGTGCAACTCTTGCCACTACCTAATTTCAAAGTAATTGCATCTTCCAAAAAACAAAACAAAAAAAGCCCCAGGCAAGGCATGGTGTCTCATGCCTATAATCCTAGCACTTTGGGAGGCCAAGGTATAGGAGGATTTCTTGAGCCCAAGAATTCAAGACTAGCCTGGGCAACCTAGTGAGACCGCTACAATAAATTAAAAAATTAGCCAGGCGTGGTAGCGCGTGCCTGTAGTACAGCTACTTGGGAGGCTGAGGCAGAAGGACTGCCTGAGCCCAGCAGGTCGAGGCTGCAGTGGCCATGAGCATGCCACTGCACTCCAGCCTGACAGAGTGAGACTCCAACTCAAAAAATAAAAAAATAAAAAAAATTAGCCAGGAGTGGTGGCATAATCCTGTAGCCCCAGCTACTTGGGAGGCTGAGGCAGAAGGATCATCTGAGCCCAGGAAGTTGAGCCTGCTGTGAGCCCTGAGCATGCCACTGCACTCCCGCCTGGGTGACAGAATGAGACTACCAACTAAAAAAAAAAAAAGAAAAGAAAAGAAAGCAGCCCTACACCAGTTAGCAGTCACTCCCCACTGCCCCTTTTCCAGCCCTAGGCAACCCCTAATCTGCTTTCTGTCTCCATGAATTTATCTATTCTGGATTTTTCATATGTGTTAGTTAGGGTTCTGCATACCAGCTCCCAGGGAATGTGTTAATTTGCTCAAGCAATAAAACCACATCTGGTAATCATCTAAGTGGAATCAGACAACCTGCAGCCTTTTGTGTCTGATGTCTTTCATTTAGCGTGCTTCCGAGGTTCATTCATGCTATTGTATGTGTCAGGACTTCATTCCTTTTTGTAGTTGAGTAATACTCCCTTTATGGACATACCACATTTTGTTTTTCCATTCATCAGCTGATGGACATTTGGGTTGTTTCCACTTTGTGGCTATTATGAACAGTGCTCCTGTGAACGTTAATATACATGTTTGTATATGGGCGCATGTTTTCATTTTTCTTGGGATTACCTGGGAATGGAATTACTGAATCACAGGTGCTTAACCTTTTGGGGAACTGCCAGACTGTTTTCCCAAGGAGTGGAACCGTTTTACATTCCCCCCAGCAGTGGCGGAGGGAAATGCCCTTCTGCTGAGCATTTACTGTGTGCCAGGCTCTGTGCCGGACCTCTCCCACACCTTGTCTCCTGTGAGCCTCACACCAACCTGGGAGATGTCTGTGATTGCCTGCATTTTACCAAGCAGCACACCGGGGCTGGGAGAGGTGAAGTGACTCCCCCAGGAGAGCACAGGAAGTAGGTGATAAGGCCTAGATTCCTACCCAGTTCTGTCCCTTACATGTTCACTGGTTGCCAACTGACTGTGTGACTATCCATATGCTAAATTTTAACTTGCTGCCTCTCCAAGTCTCCTGGGCACTGTTTTGCAGACAGGAAAGTTGGACCCCCACTACCCAAAGGTGTGCGGGCACAGAGGGAATGTCTTGGACGTCAAGTGGAACCCTTTTGATGATTTTGAGATCGCCTCCTGTTCTGAAGATGCCTCGGTGAGTGTCAGTCCGAGAGGCGTTTCCCTTTCCTGAAGGGTGGAATTAGAACAGGCCAGGGTGGAGAGGTCTGTGTACTTGTCTTTGGTGCTCCTGACTCCATTGCTGAGGTAGGGTCACTGTGTGGGGAAGTATCAAGCCAGACTGAGGAGGAAGCGTTCTGGGCTCTGTGAGACTGGGACACCACCCCTCCTCTCTGGGGCCTCAGTTCCTCCACCTGTAAAATGGGCATACTAGCTCCCACCCATCTAATGTAGGTCCAATGAAATTTGCATTTCAGCGGGAAAGCCCATGCTTTGGGGGAACCATAAAATACCAGGAGGGGCATATTTATTGTAGTCAGAAAATACGTTGCACTGAATCTCATAGACAGTGAGGAGGCACGCTTCAAAAGGCTTTTGGGACTGGGCGGTGCCTCACGCCTATAATACCAGCACTTTGGGAGGTCAAGGCGAAAGGATTGCCTGAGTCCAGGGGTTTGAGACCAGCCTGGGCAACTTGGCAACACCTCATCTCTACAATAAAAATAAAAAAATTAGCCGGGCCTGGTGGCACACACCTGAGGTTCCAGCTACTTGGAAGGCTGAGGTGGAAGGATCACCTGAGCCCAGCAGGTCAAGACTGCAGGGGCTATGAGCATGCCACTGTACTCCAGGCTGGGCAACAGAGGGAGACTCTGATTCAAACGAATGAATGAATGAATGGCTTTTGGGGAGCCTTCTATACATATGGACACCAACCATCCAGAAGCTTCAGTCCCACTGGTTTTTTTGAGCAGTCCCTATCCCCACAATGTTAGGTGTTATTTATTTGTAATTCATTTTGTACCTAATTCCAAAATATGGTGGGGATAGCTTAAAACAAAAAATACAGGTATGACCAGATAATTAAAATTAGGATAAAAGTCAGTTATTTCTTGTGAGCCCACTGTGTTCTTGACTGTCGTCACTCTTATCATTTCCCAACCCCACAGGGTAGGATATTTGTCTGATAGAGAAGCCGAGGACCAGAGAGGTGCAGCAGTTTGCCTAAGGTTACACAGTTCGTGAGAGGCAGAGCCAGGCTTCTGACTGAGGCCTGTCTGATTCCAGAGCCCATTCTCTTTCCATGGAGCTATGTCACTTCCCGGAGGAGCAACAGCCACAGGTGGAGGAAGTGAGGAAATACCAGAAACATCAACTAGGAGGGTTGTAGCAGCTGAGCTGCTAGTTTAGCTCAGAGCTGCCTTGCAGCCAAGGCAAAAAAAGGAAATAGAATGTATCGCAGAACCCTCACTGACTGAGCAAAGGAAGCAGACCAGCTCATCAGGAAAGGAAGGCAGAACATTCTAAGAGGACTAGTGTGGGTTTCCATAAAGAAGAAACTGAGAATACAAAGGACAGTGTCTGCTGAGGCAGCGTCACCAAAAGGGCAGTCAAGCCCAGTGAGAATCAGCCCTGTCTCCAGTGAGTGCAGGACCTCTGGCAAGATACAAGTATCTGAGAGTATCCTCACTTTTGTGATACCTGCCCCTTCAGGCCTACTTGGAATTCTCCCCTAAAGATCTTTACTAGGCAGGGCACGTTGGCTCATGCCTGTAATCCCAGCACTTTGGGAGGCCAAGGCAACAGGATCGCCTGACCCTGGGAATTTGAGACCAGACTGGACAATATAGTGAGACCTTGTCTCTACAAAAAATAAAAAATAAAAATAAGTCAGGCATGGTGGTATGTACCTGTAGTCCCAGCTACTCAGGAGGCTGAGGTGGAAGGATGGCCTGAGCCCAGAAGTTTGAGATCAACCTGGGCAACATAGTGAGACCTCACTTACAAAAATATAAAAAAAATTAGCCAGGCATGGTGATGCATGCCTGTAGTCCCAGCTACTCAGGAGGAGGCTGAGATGGAAGGATCGCTTGAGCCTAGGAGTTTGAGCCTGTGTTGAGCTATGATTGTGCCACTGCACTCAGCCCAGGCAACAGAGTGAGACACCAACTCAAAAAATAAATAAATTTTTAAAAAATCTTTTAAATTCCTTGCTAGTTTCATTGTCTGCCACTGCCCCTTCCCAGATGCCCCAGGGGTGGCAGCAATGGACGTGACTAGGTGGTGGTACCTTTTCCCCCAGCAGCCACCTTTCCCAGAGTGACCTCACGGAGTCAATTCATTTGTTTAATGTTCTCAGCTGCTTACCTCCCTTCCCCCAAGTCCTGGAGAGCAAGGTTGCCCCTCTGGCACTGGAGAGTGGACAGTCCTCTCTGCTTCAGTGTTGGCAGTAGTGCCTGTACTTCCCAAACCTGCCCAGAGTGTGTCCTCCTCCTGGGGTCCAGTTCTATGCAGCGACAGCCCTCACCAGACTCATATGGAGCCGAGATTACTCCCGTGGGGTTGGTTTCTTGGTTTTAAATCCAAGATTGCCCGGGCATGGTGGCTCACACCTGTAATCCCATCACTGTGGGAGGCCAAGGCAGGAGAATTGCTTGAGCCTAGGAGTTCAAGACCAGCCTGGGCAATGTAGCAAGACCACATCTCTTAAAAAAGGGGGAGGGGAACTGACCAGGAAGTAAATATTGGCTGAATTGGAAGTGAAGCCATCTCCCTGAAACACCCGTGTGCCTCTAAAGGAACCAGTACACAGTCACAGAAGGGCCAGAGCACCTTGTAGGGTGTACATCAGCACTGTCCCGGGCTCCATTCCCCCCCCCATAGCATTCCCCTGTACCCTACTCGTACACCTCCATGATGGACAGCCTACTCTCCACTGTGGGGGCTCCTTCCATCCTCAGACAACACTACTATGCAAGGAAGACCCCCATACCCAGGCCCTCACCATGAAATACAGGCTCATGACCCCAGCCAACCCAGCATCGTGGCCTTATGTCTTAACTCTTGCAGGCTATCAAAGGTTCCCCCGCCCCCCACAGAGGAAGCAGCTTGTCCCTGCCCTGTTCTGCTCCAGAAACTGTGCTGGCTCCCTGCTGCCCTGAGGATGCAACACAAACCCTTCATTCCTGGCATTTGAGGCTCCACCCTGGGACTTTGGAGACAGGCCTGCAGCCCACCCTCCTGCCCACCACCTCAAGCCATCAGGATGACAAAGATCCCCCAAGGGCAGATTTGGAGGCCTAGGCTAGTCTCTGGTCAACACCAGCCCCTGTTCAGGCTAGACGACCTTGGTGAAGTCCCTGTCCCTCTGAGGCCCCGAGCTGCCTCTCCACTGAGTGAGAGGTGGCTATGGAGGGAGCTCCTGTGGTCCTTCTGTTGGTCTCTGCTGGCTCTTGTGGCTTAGTATGGCAAAAGAGCCAAGGTGCTCCTGGCTGACACTCCCTCCGGCCATGTCTCCCCTGCCAGATTAAGATCTGGAGCATTCCCAAGCAGCTGATGGCAAAGAACCTCACAACCTGCAGGAAGGAGCTGGTGGGCCACGCACGCAGGGTGGGCCTGGTGGAGTGGCACCCCACAGCCGCCAACATCCTTTTCAGCGCCGGCTACGACTACAAGGTGAGTCTGCATGTGCACTTTCTGGGACTGCCTTAACAAATTGCCACAAACTGGGTAGCTTAAGTTAACAGAAATTTATCCTCTCACAGTGCTGGAGGCCAGAAATCCATAATCAAGGTATTGGGAGAGGCTGGGTGCGGTGGTACATGCCTGAAATCCCAGCACTCTGGAAGGCTAAGCAGGGAGAATTGCTTGAACCCAAGAGTTTGAGACCAGCTTAGGCAACATAACAAGACCCCGTCTCTACAAAAAATAATTTTTATTTGTTTGTTTGCGTCTGAGTTTCACTCTGTCACCCAGGTTGGAGCACAGTGGCAGCTCACAGCTACTCCAGCCTTAACCTGCTGGGCTCAGACAATCCTTCCACTTCAGCCTTCCAGGTAGCTGGAACTACAGGTGCGTGTCATCACACCCAACTAATTTTTTAATTTATTGTAATAGAGGCAAGGTCTTGCCATGTTGCCTAGGCTGGTATTGAACCCCTAGGCTCAGGCAGTCCTCTCGCTTCTGCCTCCCAAAGTGCTGGGATTACAGGCATGAGCCATCATGCCTGTTAATAAGCCAGGCGCGGTGGCTCAAGCCTGTAATCCAACTCAAAAAACAAAACAAAATAAAATTTTTAAGTGGCTAGGCATGACGGTGTGCACCTGTAGTCCTAGCTACTTGGGAGGCTGAGGCAAGAGAATCTTTTGGGCCCAGAAGTTAGAAGCTGCAGTAAACTATGCTCACAATACTGCATTCCAGCCTGGGCAAAAGAGTAAGGCCCTGTCTCAAAAAAAAAAAAAAAAAAGTAGAAAGCCAGGCGTGGTGACTCATACCTGCAATCCTAGCACTTTGGGAGGAGAGGTGAGAGGATTGCCTAGATAACTTGGTGAGGTCTCATCTCTATAATAAATAAATAAAATTAGCTGAGTATGGTGATATGCACCTGTGGTTCCAGCTACTTAGGAGGCTGAGACAGAAGGATCACCTGTGCCCAGCAGTAGCCATGAGCGTGCCACTATACTTGGGCAACAGAGGGAGACTCCAACTTAAAAAAAAAAGTATTGAGAGAGCCAGTTTCCTCCAAAGCCTCTGGGGAAGAATCCTTCGGTGCCTTTTCTAGCTTCTGGAGGCTCCAGGCGTCCTTGGCTTGTGGTTGCATCGCTCCAGTCTTTGCCTCTGTCTTACATGGCCTTCTCCTGTGATTGTGTGTCTTCTTCCTATGAGGACACTTGTCATTGGATTTAGGGCCCAACCTAATCCACTGTGACCTCATCTTAACTAATTTCATCTGCAAAGACCCTATTTCCAAATAAGATCACATTCTGAGACTGTAGGTGGACATGAGTTGGGGAGGGGGTACTATTCAGCCCATAATAGTCTGCCTGGAGAGCACAGACTGGTCCTGCCCAGGAAATCATCCCCTGCTCCACTGACTACCAAACCAGCAGGCTGTGGGCCCTGTGATTGGGACTCACAGTACAGGAGACCTAGAGTCTATTCCAACCTAACGTTTGACCTGGAGTATGACCTGGGAAAGTCCCTTGTCTTCCCTGGGCCTCGGTTTCCCAATCTGCACACAAATAGGGTTGGTGGGGCCTTAGCAATGACTTTTCAACTCTTCCCTTCTGACTCTTTAGGGGTTTACAGAAGTACCTCAGAGCCCTCTGTGCTGGCTAAAAGGGTCTGGGAGTTGCGAGGCACAGAGCCTTCTGCCTTCTTCTGATCAGACGTGCTTTTTTTTTTTTTTGAGTTGGAGTCTCACTCTGTCACCCAGACCGGAGTGCAGTAGCTGCTCCCGGCCAC